CTGGCATGAGTGCTGGCAGCCTTGCAACTGGCACAAACTGTGTAGCCAGCCCGTGGCCCTTTAAGGGCTCCGGGGCCGGGAGGGGGGCAATAGAGTTTCCCTGGTGTTGGCCAGAGTGGCCACCAGGGGAACCTGGCAGCCTTGCAACTGGCACAAACTGTGTAGCCAGCCCGTGGCCCTTTAAGGGCTCCGGGGCCGGGAGGGGGGCAATAGAGTTTCCCTGGTGTTGGCCAGAGTGGCCACCAGGGAAACCTGGGAAGCCTTAGCCTCCCACTAGTTCGAATTAAGGGTCTACACAGCCCTTAATTCGAACTAGCTAGTTCGAACTAGGCTTAATCCTCGTAAAATGAGGTTTACCTAGTTCGAACTAAGCGCTCCGTTAGTTCGAATTAAGTTCGAACTAACGGAGTGCTAGTGTAGCGCCTATCAAAGTTAGTTCGAACTAACATCCGTTAGTTCGAACTAACTTTGTAGTGTAGACATACCCCAGGGGAGGGAAGTTACCTGGATTCAGAGCAGAGGGGTTCACAAACCAGAAAATAATCTGATCTCGTCTAACTAAACATTCCCTGTTCACTTATATATCTCTTGTTCCAAGGTTTAGTCTTTTCTAGACATGGATATTGCTGAAAATTCCATGCTTTATTCCTGGCTCAGTCTCTCTCTCTCCCCCAGCTCCTGCTCTGAACTCACACAAAGAACTGAAGCAGGCAGAACCTGTTTTCCAATTCATATCTCACACTTTTTTCACATTGGCTCTCCTGGCTTCCCGAAGACACACCATCTCAGTTTAATCCTTTACAGGCAATTTAGTTAACTGAACGGCTAAGGTGTCTAGAAAAGGGTGCCTCCCATTCATCAGAAATTGTCTTTTCGGCATTATTACAGATAAATCTACTGTTTCCCTCTAGTAAAGAATCAATACCTGTATAAGGATTCTTTTTTTCTTAACGTATTTTAAAAGTTTCTTATTGTCCTTAACTCTGTTAGCCACAGATTCCTCCTTGTGTCTCCTTGCTTTCCTTATCAATTTTTTACAATTCCTAACTTTTGATTTATATTCATTACTATCAATCTTCCTTCCATTTGTTATACAATTTTATTATTTTTTATTTTTCGTTTATTTAAATGGAATTATTCTTGACTATCCCAGGATGAACGAGATCAGTATCAGGCTCTATTTCTCAAAATGCACTGAAGGGAGTGCAATAAAATTAAATTTCTAAATCTGACATGTACTTACTCTTTTCCAAGGTTATTAAATGCAAGGCAGCCATTGCCTGGGAAGCAGGGAGCCTCTTTTCTATTGAGGAGGTTGAAGTCGCCCCACCCAAAGAACATGAAATTCGAGTTAAGGTAAGTCATGTAGAGTGACACTGGTGTAAAACTGGAGTTGCACAGCAATGAAGGCTATTACATTTGAAAACAGCAATTAAGATTCACAAACATATCCTGAATGTGCAAATCAGACATAAACAAATGGAGTATGAACAGCAGGTGGGCCCCAATTCAGACAAGTTATTCCCCGGCTCCACCCTTCCCACCTGTCCCCTCCACAGCCAGAACCCAGAGAACCCCTGTCCTCTCTGTCTCCAAAGCCCTGAGACACCCCCGCCTTCCCACGTTTCATCCCGTCCCATGGCCAAAGGAATCCTAGACCAGTTGGAGTCCCCTCCCACCATCAACCTGCCCAGAGGAGCCCCAAGCTGGCAAGAGCCCAGGCCAGACAGATACTGCAACTGCACCTCCCCGCGGCAGACCCTAAGCCTCCCCACAGGAAAATTCAAAAGCTCTTCTCCACCTTCTGGAAGAAGAACCTATGCTTTTCCTATGCACATGCAGGTTCTGAGGTGTCTGATGAGGTGGCATGTGTTACTCAACATCCCAGTTTCATTATGAAAGAATTTCATGGAGTCCAGGGATCTTAGCATATGAACCCAGGAAACTGAGTAGCACATACCATCTCCTTAGTTGCCCTGGTACGTGCATGGCACTTAATAAAAAGCAAAAATCCCATCACCACACCAACAAACATGGTCCGGCGACAGTGCAGCACTTCTCTTGGCCTATTGTACCTGCTGCCCATCTTTAAAATCCCATTTAAGATGAGATGATAGCTGCTTTGTATTGCTGAAGAGGGACAGAAGAGCCAGAGTGTACTACATTCCCTAAATCTCACCAAGATGCACATTCTGGCAAAATTTCATGATAATCAGATTTAAATCACTTTGTGTATTCTCAACAAAAAAGAAAGAGAGTCGTCATACGTTTTAGGATTACTTGTCTATCTTAAAAAGGGTAGGCAACTGTTTATTTTCTCCTGTGTATATTGATAAGTGTTGGGTCACACAAAACCACAATACTAATCTGATCTGAGGAAGTGGGTCTGGCCCATGAAAGCTCATCACCTAATAAACCATCTTGTTAGTCTTTAAAGTGCTACATAGTCCTGTTGTTTGTTTCAGCTACACCAGACTAACACGGCTACATTTCTATCAAAATACTAATGAAGTAGTTGGTATTATCAAGGCAGTAACTCACATTTCCCATCAAACTTGGTGGTGTTGGAGTGGTAAGAATAGCTCACTAATTTGATTCAAGTCACAGTTGCAATTCTCCATTATCAACCTACAGTATAAATATAAAGGTGTTACTGCCTTGCAGATTGTTGCTACAGGGGTGTGCCGTAGTGATGCGCATGCTATAAGCCCCAGTTTTAAGGAGGGTCTTTTTCCAGTCATCCTGGGCCATGAAGGAGCAGGAATTGTGGAGAGCACTGGACCAGGAGTGACTAAATTTAAACCAGGTACTGAGATATTATCTATACCATTGCAATGTCTGGGCTTTATTCACCATTCTGAACAATGGCTATTTGTTGATGGTACTCTGTTAAAGTCAATGCTTTATACTGGTGTGAACTGCTGCAAACAGTGAAGAACCTCTACTAGGGTTGAAGTTTAGCTATAATTAAACTTTGGTGTTTATACATTGTGGAGGAGAAAATGCAATAGGATGCAATAGGATCCAGATTTATGGATTACGCCAAGAAGACATAGCACTAGTACATTTTTTTAAAAGAGTGCACATAAACTGAACTACTCCTTCACGCCACACCACTCTTCCCCCAAATGTGATCAGGGGATATGATTACTTTCTCTAAATACATTGCAGGGGACAGGAGTAAACACTAAGGCTACGTCTACACTGGCCCCTTTTCCGGAAGGGGCATGTAAATTTCACCTATCATAGTAGGGAAATCCGCGGGGGATTTAAATATCCCCCGCGGCATTTAAATAAAAATGTCCGCCGCTTTTTTCCAGCTTTTAAAAAAGCCGGAAAAGAGCGTCTACACTGGCCCCAATCCTCCGGAAAAAGCGCCCTTTTCCGGAGGCTCTTATTAAAGTAGGAATAAGAGCCTCCGGAAAAGGGCGCTTTTTCCGGAGGATCGGGGCCAGTGTAGACGCTCTTTTCCGGCTTTTTTAAAAGCCGGAAAAAAGTGGCGGACATTTTTATTTAAATGCCGCGGGGGATATTTAAATCCCCCGCGGATTTCCCTACTACAATAGGTGAAATTTACATGCCCCTTCCGGAAAAGGGGCCAGTGTAGACGAGCCCTAAGGAAGTTGAAGAGCTATTTAAGCTGAAAGATAATGCTGGTACGAGAACAAATGGGTATAAACTGGCCTTGAACAAATTCAGTCTGGACATTAGAAGGACTAACTATCAGAGGACTGAGATTATGAAACTGCTTCCCAATAGGAGTGGTGGAGGCATACAATTAATTGTAACAAATAGAGCTAGACAAATTTGAGTGGGATTTCACGACAGAGTTGCTTGTGAGGATACTGGGCAAGGCTCAGCAGCCCTGATTGTCCTTCCAGTTTGTCTTACATTCCTGAAATCTCATGCTTCGGGGCATATCCCTTCAGGTCAGAAAGGGACTTCCCCCTCACAGTGTGTTTGGAAGGATAGGGGTGTCTTCTTATTCTGAAAAAACAGGGATAGGGTGGGCTGGTACACACTGGAAGTGGCATTAGGGTTTTTGGTTTTGGTGGCCTGTGATATACAAGAGGTCAAGCTAGAAGACCTAGAGGATCTGGAGGTCCTTTCTAGTTTTGATCTCTAGGACTATGTCTAGACTGCAAGCTTCTTTTGGAAGAAGCTTTTCCGGAAGAGATCTTCCAGGAATACTTTTTTCGAAAGAGAGCATCCACACAGCAAAAGTGCAATGAAAAAGCAATATGCTTTTTCAAAAGTTGGCATCCACATTGATTGGACGCTATCTTGCATTTAAGTTGTGGTTAATATGGATGGAGTAGCCACTAGGACACCTGTGTTATTTCCTGGAGGCCTCTTCCTTAGAAAGAACTCCCTCTTCTATGTCCACACGCACATTTTTCTGAAAAAGCTTTTTCAGAAAAAGGCTTCTTCCTTGTAGAAAGAGATTTATCGCTGTTGGAAAAACCCCTCTGTTCTTTCAGCTTTCTGTCAAAAGAGTACAATAGCAGTGTGGATGATAAGTATAGTTTTTCTGGAAAAACGCTGCAGTGTATACATATTCTAGGAGTCTGGGACAAGCAATAACTCAGATGTTGATTATGACTGATTAGGGTTTAGGATTTGTGAAGGAAAGACCACAGTGCGGTTCACATGGATGTTGCTGAAGATGTATCACCTTCAGTTATAATGCACAAAAATAACTAACAAAAAAAACCTGCAGCTGCAGAGCAATCTAGAAATGGACACTTATGCTGCCGGGCCAAAGAATTCTCACTTGCTGTGTCTAGACTGGCCAGTTTTTCCAGAAAATCAGCCGCTTTTCCAGAAAAACTTACCAGCTGTCTACACTGGCCACTTGAATTTCCACAAAAGCACTGACTTCCTACTGTAAGAAATCAGTGCTTCTTGCGGAAATACTATTCTTCTCCCGTTCAGGCAAAAGTCCCTTTTACGCAAAGCTTTTGCACAAAAGGGCCAGTGTAGACAACTCAGATTTGTTTTCCGCAAAAAAGCTCCGATGACAAAAATGGCGATCGGGGCTTTTTTGCGGAAAAGCGCGTCTAGATTGGCACGGACGCTTTTCCGCAAAAAATGCTTTTGCGGAAAAGCGTCCATGCTAATCTAGATCCGTGGTCCCCAACATGGTGCCCGTGGGCGCCATGGCGCCCGTGGGGGCATTTCCATGCACCCACCAGGTGCTCGGGGCTGGCCTGGCCCCGGGCACCGGGCGCATGGCGGGGGGAGCGCCGGCCCTGGGCGCGCGGCGCTGGGCGGGGGGAGCGCCG